CACAAAATTAACAACCATGAAGCATTCTATCTATTTGCTTTTCAACCTTATTCACACTATCTAGATATTACACTCAAAGGTCTAATTTTTATATCTTTAATTCAAACTATTCAAAATTATAATATTTCTTACAAGATCGCTTCTCAAACAGTAATTAATATATTACTTAAAATAAATAAACAATTATATGAACAATTATGGAAACTCTATTGTTCTAACTTTTCTAAGTGGAGAAAGCTTAACAAACTTAACTATCCATACTCTAATGATCCAAGCTCTTCTACACTACCTGAATCCTCCAGCTTTGAACAACAATCTGATTTATCAAGTTCAATACAATCTATCATCTCAACTTGACATACTCATACAATATATACTTATTCTTGTATATGTGGCAAACCAGATCAACTACACATCTATTTCAATACCTGTCTACCTGTTGGCCAGGCTAGAAGGAAATATAATGTTTGGTCTGTTCACTGGATCAACTATAGTACTTCAATAAATTATATTTCCTCTATTATAATCTAGGTGAGCTTAGGACCACTCTAGTAGGTTTAGATTGCAGATAAATTAGTCTAAGCTTTTATTCTTGCTGTATAATTTTATTTTTATTTGTACTCTTACGAATTGTAGTAACATTTACACCAGTTGATTACTCAACTAGTGGTTACTATCACCCAATAAAATTATTAATAAAGATATGAGCAAGGCCTCACCTTAATACCAAAAAAAAATTTTTTTATATATTGTATTAGAATTTTATCTCTATGCTAGATTAAAATTATTAAAATTGTTCAATGACATAATTATAAATCTAATTCACTTTTAAATTTTTAAGCAAATTTATTATAACTTATATGACCATTAGTTCTAAATAATAAAGTTAGTAAGATTGGTAATCTCTAAAATTGTATGAGTATGTATTATCAGTTTGTATAAAACTTCCAAATAAGTAATTTTTAATTATTTGACAGTGAATGTTCTTGATTCAAATTAAAATAAAAATTTACTAATATTAGAATATCTTATTATGGTTTGTGATGTAACTTTTGATAAATTTGCAGATCACTGCATACCTAATTGTTTAACTAAAATTAATTGTATGTAATTGTATGCAATTGTATTCAATTGTATTCAATTCTACCTGATTGTATAATTTATTTGTAAATGTATAGAAAATAACAATTAAATTTTGTATTTGGTTGTATTTTAAGTAAATAAAATTAATATTTTTAAGTATATCTTTGTAGATTTAAAATTGCAAAAATGACTCTTAATGATGTTTGAAATTACATATAGTTTATTTTACTTATAATGGTAATAGCAAACAAAAAATTGCAAAACTCTTGTATATAGGTAAAACTTTAATAAAATATACATTTAAAAAATATAATAAATGGTATCATATAAAAATTCTGTTTAAAGAAGCTTCAGGTCAAAAAAGATCATTTAATAATAACAATATTAAAGTAATTTTGTAAATCTAAAATTTTTTTACACTACTAGTGGGACTTCATATAGTGTAAATTATAAAACCTATTAAATATAATATTTAAATTTTTTAAATTTTATGTAAGTTAGTTAAAAAAATATAGATCTATACCTTGACAAGTTGCAATATGAAATGAGAATAATAACCAAAAAGGAATATCAATTTTAATGATATATTGTTATTTAAAATGATATAATATTACTTGAAAAAAGTTTTTTTTGTAAAAATTTTTATTTACATTATAGTTATATAAAGCTGATATTAAGCAAAATGAGCTTCTTAGATCTGTATTTATAGTGCATATTGAAGATTATTATAAATATGATTAACTTATTTTTCAATGAAGCGTCCAAAAATAAATGTAATTAATTGTATTTAAATTATGAATATTCTACTATTAATAATCACACATACAAAAAAACTATCTTTGTATAAAGTAAAAGATATACAATCCTATCTGCATTAACATTAACAGGTATTATAGCTATTAACTTTATTGAAGAAAGCTGTAATATGCAATGTTTTAAAAATTTTATAATTAGAGAGGTTTTAAGTACTGTATAAAATATTTAAAATTAAAATTTAAGGTTTATTATAAGTATTAATATATAAATATTGTTTAAGATTTTACAAATGTGAGTATATCCTGATACAAACAGTGTTTTGGTTTTGGATGATACTCAAATTCACTACAGCAAGTTATTAGTTGAAATAGTTAATGCTATTGATGCACAAGTCTTATTTCTTCTACCATATTCTTCAGACTTTAATCCAATTGAAATATTATTTTTATTTATAAAAAGATATCTTAAAAAAATTATGAATTTGTAGAGGCAATTGCTGATCTAATATACCTGATTTTGGTAGCTTGTGCTGAAATATCATCCAATATAGCAAAAAAATTTTTTTAGCATTCAATATATTTATAAAATAAATAGCTGTGCAATATAAAAAATAAAAAAAAATAAAAAATAAATAAATAAAAAGATAAAAAAGATAAAAAATAAGTACTAATCTCTTAGTTTAGTAAGATTTAAAGGGTCATGATCACATTATATAGTCACAAAATTTGATAATTATAAATAAAGGTAGTCAAATTAACAATCTAATTTGTATACAGAATAGAGTTAATTATGTAATCAATTTAGAGTTAAATAGTAAATAAAAAAAAGTTACTACTTTTTTGTTTTTTGCTTTAAGTAGATATCAGAAATTTGATAAACTCACATACTTCATATTAAAATATTAATGAATATTTAACAACAGAAGCCTGTAAAGTTTTTAAAATATATAAACCAAACTTAGCAACAAAATTTAAGGTTCATAAAGCATCTCTATACTATTATTTAAAATATTCAAATTAATATCTAACATATCATTTGTTGAAATTGTATTGATTTTATTTATTTGCACAATTGGTTATAATTAAAACCTATTAATCTTTATTGTAAACAAAACAATACTAATACACTATCCTTAACTTGAAGAATTAAATTTGTTAATATATATTACAAGCATTCAGTCTAGAAAATAAAATAATATCAAGCATTAAACTTAGAAAGCTCAGTTTGAATAGCTGTCAAAATATTGACAAAGTAGTGATATTTCCAAATATTATATGCTAAATTTCTGGAATAACAACACATTTACTGGTGTTATGATCCAGAAAGAGACTTTGTATTAATCAGCCAATTTAGCTAAGAGTTGTAAGTAGAGATAGAAAAAATGTATATTTTTCTGAAAACTGTATACTTTTTGTTAAACAAAATTTAATCTAATTTCAAATTGTTATTCAATTATTTAAATACTTACAAAGAATAATATAATTGTTTTTTTGCTAAAGTCATAATAAGAATCTAGCACAAAAGTTATTTCTTAGTTCTGCCCACATTATGTTAGTCATAGGCCAAATTATCTTAATATCAACTGAGTTAATAGTTAATACAATTAAATGGTTATAAAATTTTGATTAAATATCATGTAAATAAAATAGAATTATATGTATAAATGTATATTAGTGCATACACATGAAAGTACATTGCCTCATCTATAATATTACTTTAGTATTAAAGCTAACAAATTTTTATATATAAAACATTGATGAGAAAATATGCATAGATGCATATACAAAAATGTGCAATAGCCATCTCTAATTGTAAGTAATAATATGAGATATCAAGTTTTTTTTAACACATACAAGATACCAAAAAGTACTGTTATATCTGTAAACTACCTTTATAAGTTCTACTTTAGCTACAAATATGTTAGACGATTGATAACAATACTGTGTTTATGCTTAAGTAAAATATATGGTTTATTGCATTTACACTTTAAGAGGATTCAAGTGATTTGCATTTAACGAAAAAGGCAGACAGTTAAATATATATGAAGATATAAGTAGTTGTATTAATAGTAGTTTACTCTTTATTACTTGTTATATGAGAAACTAATGATTCGAGGGAAAATAACAGGCTATTTATACATGTTCTTGGACTGGAAAATATTATATAATGATTATATTAGATTTATTTTATAGATTAATTGGTGTGCAAGCAAATATAACTAATACATATGAAGAACTAATAACAGTAAATAATAGAATGACTAGAACTAGTAGAATTAGTAAAATTTGTAGAATTGGTAGAATTGGTAGAACTAATAAAACTAGTAAAACTAATAGAACTAGTAGAACTAGTAGAAATTGTAGAATTCTTGGCACATGTGTTACATGTCATATATTTCGTATATCATGTGAAATTGCAGACAGTCGTGATTGACAAGTTTTAGATCTAACATTCCTCCTTCTTTAATTATGAGCTCCGCAAATAATCAATTGTAGCTACTCTGATCAATTAATTCAATTCTGTTTGATAATTAAAAAATAACTAGTTTGAAACATTCCATGAACGTTGTCAATATCAGTTCGCATTAACAAGAATAATTCTACTAACTTGCATATTTATACAATTGTTTATTATTTCAGCCAATTTCTTCTCTACATTTTTGGTATAAGTTCTGTTAAGCATCATACCATGCATTTGTAAAAGAATATTATATAATTCATCAGAAGGAAGTGGTATATTTTCATTAAAAGCATAACTAATCTTTGCTGCACTGTTCAACATATGTCTAGCTCTAGATTTAGTTATACTATGAGAATATAATTTACAAATTCTCTTAAATTCCTAGAATTGTATAAGGAACTGTAGTAACATGATTCTACAAGAGTTTGTATATGAATGATTTTCAGTTACAGTCATACACTCACATTAACTACTACTAGTATCAGTATCCTCAGCAAATAAATCATTCAGGTAGACCTCATTGAATAATGTCTTTTGTTTCTTTATTTCCTTTTAGTTTTTGATATTGGTTCTAACATTTTATTTGCTTTTTGTACAGAAATATTACAATCATTATATCGAACTGACAAATCAAACATGTGATCAACTAACAAATTATGAATATTATTTGTAGTAGGTAAATTGATTTTTGATATTCTATTTCATCTCATATTATTTGATACTAGGCTGCACTCTAACTCACTTTCTTCTATTGCTATCCAAACACTACCTTCATTATACAATTTTTCAAGACTAAATCCTTCAACCTTCTCATTATCAGTCTCAAGATTCTTAATTTCTTTAGGGTCAGTGCATTCTTTGTTTAATTTTTTACTTGAGGCATTAAAATTTTCCATCTTTCAACTAGTTTCTATGACTCGAAACTTTTTCAGTATAAAGTTATTATGCAATGCTTTACTTTTTGCGATATAGTTGTTTTGGGCTCTTTTGTATCTTGACCTATTCTGATCTTTAGATTTTTTATTGAAATTGCTCTTCAAGGTACAAGCTTGCTTAGAAGAATTATTATCAAGCTTAGTTTCTCTAAATAGTAGTAATTTTTCATTCTGATCTCTTATTTTACTATACAACAGATCTTCCGATTCTTTATCTAACATAATAAGAACTTTTTCTAGACTTGATGTTTCATCATAGCTTTCGTCAAGAGGCTGTAATTCATTGAAAGAGTTGCTAACCCTTAAAAACTCATCCATCTCTAACTCACTAAACAGATCAAGAGTCTTGTCTACACTTAAGTCAGGGTCTTTGTTAATGTAATTTTCTTTAAAACTTGTATTTGACAAAACTTTCTTGAAGATCCAAGTCATTAATAATTTTGTCTTGTAACACTTCTTTTAACAGTTCTACAGTTCTATTAAAAAATAAATTTAAATTAATTGTTTGATTTTTATTCAGCTTCACTATTATACTGATGTCCTTATTTTCTTTTATAGGATCATCTAATTTTTGATTTTCGGTTATAGATAGTTTTTCATCATGATCTACTATTTGGTCTCAAACAGGTAATTCCTGTGAAGCTAGCATTGCCATAAGTTAAGCATTGTTATTCTTAACTTTCTCTAAATTATTTTTATCCTGTTCTGATACACTTTTATTAACTAAAACTTTCTTTACAGATCTTGCAGACTTTTCGAATTATCATCGATGTATGATTCCTGCGATTTCTGAGAACATTTAAATTGTATAAAGTAATTGCACTGTTTTTTAAACTCTTCCTTATTGTCTTTATTATATTTTAACAGCATTTTATTAACCTCACTCTTCTCTTCTATATCCTTGTTAATAACTTCAAATTTAGCAATCATTTTTTTATTAAAGGACTTTATTACAGTTGATACTTCTAATAGTGCATTCATTATGCAATTAGTATTTATTTTCTTTACATTATCATCATTGTCTTTCTTTACATTTGGGGCTATACTAACTATTTGAACTATTTTCTTTAGGTATTTCAATTCTAATTTTAATATTTCAAGAAGATCATCAAGCTGTTTGATTACAAGACTTAAATGATCCGGTGTATGTAAGCTATAACAATCAAGCATTTTGGTTCATTTTTCATTTACTTTCTTATTACAGTTTGGTTCTTTCATTTTCATATTATTAACTATATTATTATCCTTTATAGAGCCTTTAGGATCTTTAGTATCATTTTCAAGAATGACCTTTTCCAGGTTAGTATAATAAATGAGTTTTTAATCATTGTAATTCTCTATCTTCATACTAATATTACTGTTAACTGTTTGATATATCCTTTTTATAAAATGTTGGGGTAATATCATGCTTAGAACAATTATAGAGATATTAATGACTATAAATATACAGGTGATATAATAAGATTCTTCTAAGATATACATCTTCTAATAAGTGTTGCTTTAGTTGTTTTGCACGTTAAATTAAGCTAATAATTCTTTTCAATTATATATTTAGGTTTCTATATTATATAATTACTCAAATAAAGTGCAATATTAGTGTTACTAATATAATTCTTGCAATTCCCTTTTGTTTATTATACATTATCACATGAATTGCACTGGTTATCCACTATCGTAATTAACAAAATGAGTTTTGTAAATTTACAGTTCCTACAAATATATCTGCTATTTGTTAATCAATATTAATAACAAAATAATGTGATTGTTTACTTTTGTTATTTATTTCAATATGCCATATGCTTTGATAAATATAAGTGCAAATGTCCTATATTAATATCGTGAAGCAATGACTTTCTAATTTTCTACCATATATCAGTTAAATTTGTATCTCACAGATATTATCTAATAAATACACAGTTATGGGTTAAACAATATCTCACAGTTAAATCTGAATCTCTCAGATTATTTTAAAATCTTATACAATCATTATATATTGGTATTCAGAGATGTCTTTTACTAACAAAGTGATTTAATAGCACAGTTGCAATAAATATCTGATGTGTATAATAATTATCTCTCACTATAGTCTAATACTTTTTAGTTCATAAACTAAATATTAGGTTGATCGATATCAGATTCTCTTCCAAGAATTATCTCACAATTAAATATATGGGTTGAGCTGAATCTCACAGTCACTACCAAATGTTATACCTGTAAACTACCTCTTATAAGTTTGGTATAACGATTCTACTTTAGCTACGAATATGTTAGACAATTGATAACAATACTATGTTTATGCTTAAGTAAAATATATGGTTTATTGCATTTATGCTTTAAGAGAATTCAAGTGATTTGCATTTAATGAAAGAAGCAAACGGTTAAATATATATGAAGATATAAGTAGTCATATTAATAGGAGTTTACTCTTTATTACTTGTTATATGCGAAACTAATGATTTGAGAAAAAATAACAGGACTATTTATACATGTTCTTGGACTGAAAAATATTATATATTAATTATACTAGATTTATTCTATGGATTAATTGGTATGCAAGCAAATATAACTAATATATATAAAGAACTAATAACAGTGAAGTAAATAATAGAACTGCTAGAACTAGTAGAATTGGTAGAATTGGTAGAATTGGTAGAATTGGTAGAACTAATAAAACTAGTAGAACTAATAGAAATAGTAGAACTAGTAGAAATTGTAGAATTCTTGGTACATGTGTTATATGTCACATATTTCGTATATAACATGAAACTGCAGACAGTTGTGATTGACAAGTTTTAGGTCTAATAGTACAAAGAAATATAAGCAATACAAGTAAGTATCTTCCTAGCAATTATACCCAGTATACAAATATCTTTTAAAATATTTCTTATTTTTACTCACAAAACTAAACTAACTATACTTAAAAAAACTTAAGAACTATAACCTAGGCTGCTATATTTATCTATATATATATTATTAGACTACTATGTTATTATAATATATTAATATAAAAGTTTAATTAAAATAACCCTATGACTACACTAAACTATAAGGTTACAAAAAGCTTATTTATGTTATTTTCATCATATTAGTCAACCTGATCTGCATTCTGAATTTAGAATATATTAGTATACATATTTGAAAATATGAATAATATAGATGATATGTTTTATGTAGCATTCAAAAGTTTTATGCACTGTCTTAGCAATTTGTTTTGGAAAGATGTTCTAATTTGGCCAATACCATAATACAATATATTAGAAATTATAATAATGAACTGAAATTTTCAGAATATGAAACCACTAGGCATTAGTGTGATATTGAATTTTAGATATAGATCTTTATTGATGATTATTGAATTGAAACAAAATAATATAACTGATTTAAGAATATTGGCTTTTGCAATGAACTCAAAGTAATAATATTAGTTTGTATTCTAATATAACTAGAAGTAGTATTTTTGGTTAAAAAATGTGAAAAATTGATACAACTTTTGTATATTGTTATATTTTTTTTAAAAAAATCATGATTTGTAGTAATGAGAATATGTAAGCTTGGAATCATAAGAATATTGTAAGGTTAAATCAGTAGCGAAGACTTAGTAGTTTGGATTTATACAATTATTTATTTTATTCATTATCTTTGTTTATTTTTTTTAAATATAGATTTTTATTTGTTTATAGCTTAGTATATTTATTGTATTAAAGCTAGAGTTGCCTGCTGTATTTGTTTTTAACAAGTTGTAATATTACAACCTATATGTCGTAAAGGTTGTAATTAATTATAGCAGGTAACTCTAATTAAGGCGTAGAAGTAAACTAAAGTAGGAAGGTCAGTTACATAAAACAGCCTTTCAGAATATACTAACTAGTACTAAAGCTTAGTAAATAGTCTCAGAAAGGTTAAGTTAGTAAAGATAAGCCTGAAGATAAGGTACTAATAAGAACCAAAATATAGAATTATACTAAAACATATAATTAAATATTTTTATATAATTTGAAAGTATAAAAGAACTGCTATCTCACTTTTCTAATAAAGCTTTAGACTTCAATATCTTTAGTATAGGAGTTATTAAAAATTGATTTCTTAACTGTTATTAGTTAATGATATATTTATTATTTTGACTATTAAGTGACATAATGATTATATTACCTTTTTTTTATTTTTTCTCTTATTTTAATTATGAAGTTTCTTCATGATCATACTATATATTCATTGTTATTACTTAGTTACCTTATAAGTATTGGTCTATAATATCAGTCGTACTGATTAACTATTGAGATTACTGATTTATTAAATTACACTTATGTAACTTAATTGTTCGAAGGACATTACAGGCAGAGCAATAGTACACCTGATGTCCGTGTGTTAGCAAATTTTCAATGCTTATTGGTTAGATCAGGTGTAACCTAAAAAAAAAAACAATCAATACAAAGATCGCTATTGGCTAAATCAGGTATAAACAAAAAAAACAATCAATACAAGAGTCGCTATTGACTATATTAAAAAAAAACAATTACTACAAAGATCGCTATTGGCTAGATCAGCTAGATTAAAAAAAAAAAATCAATACCAGATCGAAACCTTAAAAAAAAAATCAATAAAAGAATCACTATTGACTAGATCATGTATAACCTTAAACAATACAATATAAAAAAAATTTATAGTATGTCATGTTTTAACATTAACCTTCTAAGTCTACTCTGGCTAATTCGCTACCCAAAATTTTTTCAAAGTAAAAATTTACATTATTAGATTAGAATCTGTAAAATTAAGGCTTGAAAATATTTTTTATACCAAAATTTTGCAAGGAAATTTTTTTATTAGTGCGCAGAAGACCATTTTATAGAATAAATTTTGATTTATGAACGATTTTTTGACAAAGCGAACATTTGTTTTGAATTTTCTGCTCGTGTTATGTTACACCGGATCTTGAAATTTAATTGGCTAGTTAGGATAATTAAAAATTTTTTGGGTAGTGATTTTACTCATTTTCTTACTTATACTATTTAAATTCTACCCTAAGGCTAACACATCCCAAATTTTTGTATTTTTTTGTGACTTATCTATTTTACACTATACAAATTTCATTTTATTCTGATTTCATTTTAATCGTCACAATTATTGCTTTAAATTATTCAAGTTTTGTTGCGCAGCTTGTATATAACAGGGATCCGTTACTAATTTGATATCTTATATCGCGGATCTAAGATGAATTTGATTTAATTGATATTTATAGCATTTTGCGCGATGCTGCCCAGAAAGTATTAAACGACCATATACAGTAGCAGCAAACATTATAGTTTGGTATTGTCATGACCGAAATGTCCACAGGAAGATCACCTTATATAAAAGTATTTATTTATTTTTTTTGTTTCTCTATCTGCATACTATAATTAATTGATTAAGTGTCTACGGTATAAGCACTTTTTCTGAATTTTCTAATTACAAATACTTCGAGATTCAAATTTTGTTTTAGAGAAAAAAAAAAATAAATAAAAGAAGCCAATATTATTTAGTTATGATTTCTTGTTTCTATACTCAATAACCGTTCTTCTTCAAGAATCTGCTCTCAAAGTCTTTTATATTTTTTTATACGTTGAAGTCTTTCAAATGTAAAAGGCTTGAAGATTATATCGTAAAGTGAACGAACGCGAGATACTGCCACAAATGATAGGCCTGCGGCAAACTCGTTTTGTCCAAGATCAATTATAGCCTTTGGCAAGGTCAGACCCTGGGACTTGTGAACCGTAATAGCCTACGCAAAAAAAAGAGGAATCTGTGTATGTGAATATGTTTCAGACTTACCGTCCGATATGCGTTGTATAGGGGCAATTGGAACAACTCTAATGCCTTCAGGAGTGGTAATGACAGGTCCATTGTATTTTTCAAATAATACCAGAACAGCAGTAGGAAGAGAAGTGGGTCCATTATCGTTAAAAATAATACTTTCAATGGTTTCCATTGCTCCATTAACATGACCAGCGGTGGTCCAAAGGTTTGCGCTAAGCATAACACATGCACCCTTTGCCAGTACTATCTCAGATTCAAGGCCTTTTGCTTCATTTGAGTCAGCTTTTTGAGCCTCCCTTCCTCCACTGTGAATAGCTCTAATTCTAGCAACAGGACGATTTAGCATACGAAGCTTGTTTTCATTAAATTCATCAACATCTTCCCATTTTGATAAAAGGCAAGTGGCATTTAAGAAAGCTTCCAGTTCTGATAGAGGTAAATTCTCCTGTAGTCATATTATTAGCTCATCCCAGTCTGATCGAGTTGATTCACCATTTCACAGGTGTAATAGAATATCTCTAAACCGACATTGTGCCACTGATTCTCCAGCTTGATGTTGCACAACTTCAAGTTTGTAAATTTCTCGAAATTGGCTATAAATTAACCGCCCATCTTCAGATATTGGATTCGATAGACGAGAATTTTTAGCATACATTGGAAGATCACATACTGGAGGTAGCTGACCAAAGTCAGCTACAAAAATGATGGAACAACCACCGAAAGGGATGTTATGATATTCTGAAAAGGCTTGACGAAGTCATAAGTCGATTAAAGCAAGAATGCGGCACCCAACTATACTCATTTCGTCTATAATGACATATTTCACATTTTTAAGTTTACTTTGGAGCCGTTTTAGCTGTTCACCTGTTAATTCAACATCTTTTGTAGCAGTTGGAATAGAAAGAACCAAGTGAATAGTAGCACCGTTGATGTTGAAAGCTGCTACACCAGTTGGTGCAAGTACTAATAACAGAGGTGAGTCGTTCTCATATAGATTTTCTTTCTCCATTTCTTGAAGCCTGGCTCTAATTGCCTTTATGAGATAAGACTTTCCAGTTCTTGCAGTGCCCATTACTATAATTAACAGTGGATCTATTTGTTAACCTGAGAGTGTCACATGATAATGAAATTCTATCCGTTCAAACACCAATTTTTGTTTCTCATTTAGTGTTTCACGATTAATCGTTATATCAATGGCAGGCGCTTCAATTTCTGGGACCACAACATTATCACAAGTGTGTTGAATAAAGTTATCAGCACCTTCAAAGATGGGATACCATTGCCTGCTCATACCAATCCAATCATAATTAATTTCAATGTCACAGGAACCAAGATCAGAGGAAACATTGATGTGTGAATTTGGACCCATTTCTGACAAGGACATCCAATTAGGTCGAATTTCCTCTTCCTCATCTTCAAGATCATCCATACTATCTTCATCACTATTATTTTCTTCAGAATTTTCTTTTGCAAAGCCGATTATGTCATCAGGATCTGCATTAATTTCTGGCAGATAATGCTTATATAACTCTTCTCATGAAAGTGTGTTGTTATTAGTGAGTTGTTAGAGACTTCGATGGCAAACATGGAGAAGAACTTTTGTACGACAAAAATCTTCCCAATGGAGTCCATTACATAAAGGAGAAGGATGGGACCATATGCGTACTATATTAGTTTTATTACATTTTATCCATTTCTCTTTAGTAAATTTAAATTGTAGGTACAGCCTGAAGAGTGAAAGGTCTTGAAGGTTAACAGGTCGATTCCAATACAGCTGCAAAGGTGAGAGCCCTGTTCTTCCATTACTATTTGATGATTCTTGTATGTCATCATTATGATCATTTTCTCTATCACTACCACGAAGCCACCGAGGCGCCTCTTTATTAAGGTTTAGAGTAATGAAGTTTCTACTACTATGATAGAGAGGAATTCCAAGGAGGAGATGACAAGTTTCTTGAGCTGAATAGTCGTGTTCAGATACAGTGTGGAGAAGTAATTTTTGAAACACAACAATTGATAGGCTATCAGGGTTAGCACTATGAAGAGTTCTGTTCAAAATTTCTGAGAATGCTAACGACCGTGGTTCGGCTTTACTTGCATACTTAGAGATGTATTGCAATGCAGCATGTATTGTAAGCACAGGTTTCAAGTCAACATTTGCTCTCCAACCCTGAAGTTGGAGGCGATTATATGGATTGATGAGGGGATTGTTTCTGGCTGTGATTAACTCTGGATGACTGTTATTATCAAATCGAACCAAAGTTTGATTATTTAATTCTTTTGGAAATCCAAATCTACAAGATTGCTGTCCTGTTTGCTTGTTGACTCTTAAACAATATGAGGCACTGCAACATGTATGCCGCTGTAACTTGTTTATGAGTTCTATATAATCCTGTAATCCGTCATCAATTTTTTCAGGACATTTTTGGCATGGATGACGTGTAGGCACTGGTGCATTTAAACCAGGGTTTACTGTTGTTACTAATGAGTCTAGGTAACAGATTGTTTCTTCCATTTGTTCTTGATTTGCCCTTATGGTTTCCCATTTAATTTCTGGTGCATTTTTTTGAATTGCAACGCTATAAATATGAACACTTTCACGATGTTGCCATTCATATCGATACCACCAGTCTACTAATCCCCATTTTGGTATCAAAACTTTTTCAAAAAATACCTTGAATCGCTTCTCAAAAAACTAAGCTGCGATGTGTGGATTATCAATTAGATCTTGATGCCGTCATTTGGCAGCCTCTTGCTCTGTTTCTTCAGTGATATTTTCACCATGAGGCATCAAGTTATGAAGTTCGGACCAGTGCATATCTGCTGCACTAAAAGTGAAGAATATCATCCCTTGGCTGCCTAACTGTTTTATCATATTAGAAAGCTCTGCACGACACCGCATTCAATATTGACGAGTACCTCTCAGCCCTTCTCCAAACATTACCACTCTATCTGCCATATGAATATCGCTTTGCAACAATTCTTGAACTTCAGCTACTGTAAGTTGTCTCTCCTCTAAATTTTGTCTAACAAATATGCGTTCTTCTGCCAATGCCTCCAACGCATTAAAGAATTTAAAGCAAAGTATCTCCAATGTGGATGACGAGCGAAACAGCTATCTTTATATTTTAGAAGGTGTTGAAAGTACTCTGCTAGTTTCACTTCCTTCACACGATGTGCACAAAAATCAGCATTGCCCCAGGGAAAAAGTGTAGGAAATGCATGTGCAATATATCCTATGGTGCGGAATTTATCAATTGGTGTACGTTCAATATGAGGCCAGTCAACTGTCAGATATTCATAGTCTAGTTGATTGTGTTGTATGCGATTTAGAGCATTATTTATTGCATTGTTTTCACTACATCCTGGAGGCAGAACGAGAACGAAAGTACATGAAATAAAATCTTCATTGTCTTCCTGTTCATTATTATCTAAATCGCCTGCTTGTTCATTACATAATTCATAGCTATTTGCAGCCTCTGGAAGTCGATTAATTATTGTACCATTCTCAGGCAAAGATAATAATATATCGTCAGCAATTTCAATATCGCGGTAAAAAAATGTTGTTTTCTTTTAACCAATGAAGGGCTCTAGAAACTTTATCCCGGCAGACCTGAAAATCACGAAAAGCTGATCTGTCTGAAGAATTACGTCGTATGATAAGCATATTTAATGAAGAGGGATGATGTGGTAAGCGATTTGCAAATTTTTGCACGTTTTGTGGAAAGTTAATAACATTTTCTCAATATGTATATTGGCCTCCACGAAGATTGTAAACTAATATGACTGTGAAGACTTGGGCGATCAGCATTTCCTCGATTTCAGTAAGATCCTGAAGTTTTTGTGGCACATCACCTAAAAAACATTAATTTATTTCATTAACAATTGTATATAGATCCATACTGTCAATTAGATTAATTGGACATATAGAATTGGATGTGTCTAATTCAATTGACATATTTTCAATTCTTCTAATTAATAATAATACATATGAATAATATAGGATACCGGGGTCCATATTGTTTTCAGCAGAAAATTTTTTTGGTGTGCCCTTTTCTTTATGACAACGGCAGCATTCTCCCTGAAAAAGTATAATGGACGGAAATCGCTTATTGCATACATTGCAGAGTGTGTTACTAAGCTTTTTCATAGCATTGCGAAAGTCCTGTAGAAGTTTTCTGTCAGATGAAGAAAGCTGTTCATTGGTCTCAGGTTCAGACCTGACATGTTGTTCTAATCTTCGCCATCTCTTTTAAGCAGATTCATTTTGTCGTCAATTAAGATTTTCATCAGGAGTTTTTAAGGCACGTTTGTTTCGCATATTTGAGGCATTCTGTGAATTTCTCATATTTCGTTGTTCATCTGATTGCATGGCACGTCTTTGGTGCATAATTTGTTTAGATTGTTCACGCCTGCGGGTAAGGTAATCATTACTTTTGTTTACTTCCGTTAATGGAGTACTAGGCAATATAATTTGTGGTTGATTATTCATTTTAATCTATTTTATTTTAATTAAATTGCGAGTGAAAGCGAATCATGTGATAAATATGCTAATGTTGATTTTAATCAGTTCAATGAAACAGTATAGAATTTGGGTGCTTATATATTAATTTTATTATAACATTAACGCATTTAAAATGTGCACAAAACTTAATGCGTCTGGTAAGTATTCGAAATCAGATGATCACTTTTTTTGAGTTGCTATACTGAACTATCTAATTGGCTAAAATTATTGTATAGCATGGTCTAAAAGGTCACCCCTTATTATAATATCCCTCACAATTTTTAGAGCCTAGAATATATTGTACTTGGGGTATTATAGATAGGTTAATCGAAAATTATGGCACTTGAAATGTAAAATTCTTGTCTTGCACCTGCTTATATGTCATGATAATAGATTTTTTTGTAAATATATGGGCTTATTAAATCGGTAATTGTGATTTAAAAACTTTACTGAATTTAGAGCATCATTTTATAACTCCTACGCTAACCATAGCATCACTCCAACCATAAATTGTAAAGCACCCTGAATATTTTAAACCACGCTATATGGTAAATCAGCATTTAATATAATGAATTTTTAGCAAAGCATTTCAATTAATTGATTAATTGCGATAATTGAAAATTTAGTTAAGCAATTTATGCATTCCTTTTAAAATTCATTATTGATTATGAGGATATTACGATTCAATTTTAATACTATTGAAAGATATGCATCTACAAAGTTTCATTAGGTCATGCAAAAATTAATTGATTTTCATAACCCGGCCGGGTCAAAATTCGAAATTTGTAAAAAAAATTTTTATATGTTTTAATAGCCGGGTGGATTTTTAAGGAAAATTTCAAAAAATTTTTATATAAAAAAGTTAAAAAAAAAGCCGGCCGGCCACGTCTGTTTGAAAGTTTCATGTTATGAACATCAAGATATTAAATTTGTGTGGCCTTATTGTATTTGTTGCCCAAATTTCAAGATCAGGGATAATATAGGTTGAGCATCGGTTTTATTTTTTATAATTAAGTTATGTGTTAAATCATAGTTAATAAAGTGCGCTATAATTAGAGTCATGACTTTAATAGTAAAAATTTTGCAATATATATTTATTTTAGCTGCAATACGAAAATACTATTCCTGATGGATTTGCAGTACCAATCTTGAAGGTGTTACAAAAAATTTATTGTTCCTGTTAGGATTATAAAGCGAACCTTAACTAAAAAATTAAACCTAGCTGCCGCAACAAATTGTCTTGGCAAATTCTTGATTTTGATTGGATAAGTGCGACAATCAAAAATTTTGGCTGGAATTACTCAAAATTTAGTGATAATTGTTTCTGGCCTAATTTCATCATTGTGCAGACCTATTTTTGGAATTTTCTATTTTTGGAATGAAAGGTTAAAAGTTGATTCCGGCAGAAATTAATAAATAATTATGTGATATGGGCAAAATTTTGCAGATCCACGGCATTAGCCAATCCAAATTGCAGATCTGCTGTGACAATTTTTATACTTCGTTATAGTGGTATTGTATTTTGGAGGTCCTTTTTTACAACCCTGTCAGGAACGGTATATAAATTAATTTTTTTCTACCCTACCAAGACCAGTACACATGGTGTTTTTGTAGCTGCAATACTGTAGTTTTTAAAATTTTTTTTAAAAAAAAACTAAATAGCTTATTTGCACTTTAATTTATATGCACTTTTATACTATATATTTAGTAGTGGTGCCGTTTACTTTGCAGACAATAATTTCACTGATAGCTCATTTGACCAACATCACATAGAGTTAGGATTAGCATTTTATTAGTCGCTAGCACATATCTTTTTAGTAAATTGTCACTTGGTGCCATGTTGGCTAAATAAGCTATCAGCATGATGATTGTTAGTGAATAATTGGAACCTATTTAGTAATATATTTCAACTATGTAAATCCTGATTAATAAGATTATGATAATAAATTATTTTTAAAATCAAACTTATAGATGTATAATTTTTTGTAGAAGTGTTAAAAGAGAAGCTATGTATATTATTCTTTACTAGTAATTTGTATTATATATCTAGAGTTTAGTGAAGCTTAAAAATTATTTATAAAAATAAAACATAGTCAATATCTTTATTTAAATATAAATAAATAATTAGAGATTAACTATAATTCTTTAAAAGGTCAACCTATAAAAATAATAAATATTTATTTATACTTAATATTAGATATAAAATAATTTAATTTTTAATTTGTTTAATTATAAAAAAAACTCTTTCTGCTTATCATTTGTACACAAAATTTCGTCACAATAATTTTCACGTTTTTCTCAATTTACGAAAAATTTTATTAAGTTAACAACCTCTTGACCCTTAATAACATTTGTTCAGCTACTGTTTTTACATATATCTGTAAAGTTTCAAGTCTGTATCTCTCATCATTCTTGAGATATTCGATTTACAAGAACAGACGGACAAAACT